GGAAGTCAAACTCCAGAGATCTCGACCGTTGTAACCAAGAGGTGCCCTAGGGGCGACTGTCAGCTACTTGCTTTCATACGCTTTGTAAGACTACTGAACACAGAGAGGTGCCCTAGGGGCGACTTTCAGCTACTTGCTTTCATACGCTTCATAAGACTACTGAACACAGAGCGGTGCCCTAGGGGCGACTGTCAGCTACTTGCTTTTATACGCTTCGTAATGCAACTGAACACAGGGAGGTGCCCTAGGAGCGACTGGCAGCTACTTGCTTTCATACGCTTCGTAAGGCAACTGAACACAGGGAGGTGCCCTAGGGGCGACTGTCAGCTACTTGCTTTCATACGCTTGGTAAGACTACTGAACACAGAGAGGTGCCCTAGGGGTGACTGTCAGCTACTTGCTTTCATACGCTTCGTAAGACAACTGAACACAGAGAGGTGCCCTAGGGGCGACTGTCAGCTACTTGCTTTCATACGCTTCGTTAGACTACTGAACACAGAGAGGTGCCCTAGGGGCGACTGTCAGCTACTTGCTTTCATACCCTTCGTAAGGCAACTGAACACAGGGAGGTGCCCTAGGGGCGACTGTCAGCTACTTGCTTTTATACGCTTCGTAATGCAACTGAACACAGGGAGGTGCCCTAGGAGCGACTGGCAGCTACTTGCTTTCATACGCTTCGTAAGGCAACTGAACACAGGGAGGTGCCCTAGGGGCGACTGTCAGCTACTTGCTTTCATACGCTTGGTAAGACTACTGAACACAGAGAGGTGCCCTAGGGGTGACTGTCAGCTACTTGCTTTCATACGCTTCGTAAGACAACTGAACACAGAGAGGTGCCCTAGGGGCGACTGTCAGCTACTTGCTTTTATACGCTTCGTAAGGCAACTGAACACAGGGAGGTGCCCTAGGAGCGACTGTCAGCTACTTGCTTTCATACGCTTCGTAAGGCAACTGAACACAGAGAGGTGCCCCAGGGGCGACTGTCAGCTACCTGCTTTCATACGCTTTGTAAGGCAACTGAGCACAGAGAGGTGCCCCAGGGGCGACTGTCAGCTACCTGCTTTCATACGCTTCGTGAGAGTACTGAACACAGAGAGGTGCCCTAGGGGCGACTGTCAGCTACTTGCTTTCATACGCTTTGTAAGGCAACTGAACACAGAGAGGTGCCCTAGGGGCGACTGTCAGCTACTTGCTTTCATACGCTTCGTAAGACTACTGAACACAGAGCGGTGCCCTAGGGGCGACTGTCAGCTACTTGCTTTTATACGCTTCATAAGACTGAATTATATTTTCGATGACAATCTTGAAGCTCAATTTGAGACCATGGTCGGTAACGGTGCAGCTTTCATAACAAGTTACAGTAGAGAGCAATAACAGACCTTTTCAAATGAGCATAAAGCTGTGAGCATTGTATGCATGTACATTTGTTAAGATAAATTAAAAAAGTCCCGATGAATTGTGTTTAAGTTGTTTTAATGACACTGAGTTTCATATAGCAAAGGTTTTTTTAAAATAACAATAAAATATCGCTAAACACGTATTACAAACTACCTTTATAACGAGTTGATAAAGCAGGTCCCTTGGGATTCGTTATAAACGTGTTTTACTGTATACCAATCACCAAGATACACCCATAGATACCTGATAATTTTGCTTGGTAAATATTTGTTTTATTTAGCATCATATGATAAGAAAACTGACCTTGTGTGTATTTACAGAATCCATGGTATGTGAATTTGAAATAAGTTTCTAAAAAATCAAAACAAATCCCTATACAGGTGCCTGCAGGTGACTAAGATGGTTCACCACTGTGACATACCTCTATCTGAGTCAATAAAAAGTAACTAGATGGTTCACCACTATGACATACCTCTAGCTGAGTCAGTAACAAGAGGCCCAAGAAGGCCTGTATCGCTCACCTGAATATTTAAGCAGTCATAGCAAAATATTCTCATTAAATATTATATTGCACTAAAAATCTTTCCCTCGCAAACTTCATTGGCTCCATTTGTTGAACCTCCCAGCAAAATATTATTACAAGATTCTATGCTTTTTGATTCTTCAGAAGTTGCTTGACATATTTTTCCCTGTGACCTTGTAAGTAGGTCAATGTCATTTTCCTTCTCAAATAGGTAAGCTCTATTCCAAAAGCTACCAGCCAAATCTTATGAATCCATTCCTTTTAGTTCTTAAGAACAAATCCATTAAAATGCTGTTGACCTCTGTGACCTTGAAAGTAGGTCAAACTAATTTTCATTCTCAAACTTTGTTGGTCTCTATCCCAGGAAGCCATCAGACAAATATGAAGATTCTATACCTTTTAGTTCTTCAGAAGAAGTCGTTTGAAGCTTTTGACATATTTGACCCCTGTGACCTTGAAAGAACGTCAAACTAATTTTCATTCTCAAACTTTGTTGGTCTCTATCCCAGGAAGCCATCAATCAAATATAAAGATTCTATACCTCTCAGTTCTTCAGAAGAATTAATTTGAAATTTTGACACATTTGACCCCTGTGACCTTGAAAACAGTCAAGGTCATTTTCGTTCTCAAAATTTGTAGGGCTCCTACCAATGAAGCTTTCTACTGTGACATACCTCTATCTGAGGCAATAAAAAGTAACTAGATGGTTCACCACTATGACATCCCTCTAGCTGAGTCAGTACCAAGAGGCCCAAGAAGGCCTGTATCGCTCACCTGAATATTTAAGCAGTCATAGCAAAATATTCTCATTAAATATTATATTGCACTATAAATATTTCCCTCGCAAACTTTGTTGGCTCCATCTGTTGAAACTACCAGCAAAATATTATTACAAGATTCTATGCTTTTTGATTCTTCTTCAGAAGTTGCTCGACATATTTTTCCCTGTGACCTTTTAAGTAGGTCAATGTCATTTTCCTTCTCAAATAGGTAAGCTCTATTCCAAAAGCTACCAGCCAAATCTTATGAATCCATTCCTTTTAGTTCTTAAGAACAAATCCATTAAAATGCTGTTGACCTCTGTGACCTTGAAAGTAGGTCAAACTAATTTTCGTTCTCAAACTTTGTAGGGCTCCTACCAATGAAGCTTTCTACTGTGACATACCTCTATCTGAGTCAATAACAGTGACTAGATGGTTAACCCCTAGCCAAGTCAGTCACAAGCAACCAGTTCTCCACTGTGACACAGGCATCTTAAAGAAGACAACCAAATCCAGACACAAAGACTTACTAGCATATCCCTCTGTAACAGATCATTTAGCCCCAGCCTTGTACAATCTTAATTTATCTCTTTACAAAGTCCAATCTCTATATACCCTTAAATTTCACTGGACCTCATCAGTGCCTACTTGCTGTAGTTACCTGTAGTTCTGGGTTCGACTCCTTGAAGAGACACTTTGGACATGGGACCTCTAGTGATGGGCTGATGATCGAAAATAATTGAAAATTGACCAGTTTGCCCTTTATGATTCCGATTAACAATTACAAATTTCATAAGTGATATTATCGGTTCTAGATCATCGTTGAAATCTAGTATTTATATGTCTTCCATGTAAAGTATGCTTTGAAAGTCATATATTCTTTAGATTTATACTACATGATTGATAAAAATGTATAAAAGTTGCTTGATATCCGTTCATTATAACAGAACGAAACCTAATGTATAGTTAACAACTCTGTCTGTTGATGTTGTGGTAGTGTATAGGTAATAACTCTGTCTGTTGATGTTGTGGTAGTGTAGAGTTAACAACTCTGTCTATTGATGTGATGATAGTGTATAGGTAACAACTCTGGCTGTTGATGTTGTGGTAGTGTATACGTAACAACTCTGTCTGTTGATGTTGAGGTAGTGTATAGTTAACAACTATGTCTATTGATGTTATGATAGTGTATAGGTAACAACTCTGTCTGGTGATGTTGTGGTAGTGTATACGTAACAACTCTGTCTGTTGATGGTGTGGTAGTGTATAGTTAACAACTCTGTCTATTGATGTTATGGTAGTGTATAGGTAACAACTCTGTCTGTTGATGTAGTGGTAGTGTATAGTTAACAACTCTGTCTGTTGATGTTGTGGTAGTGTATAGTTAACAACTCTGTCTATTGATATTGTGGTAGCGTTCTCACTTAATTTGGGTATTCAGTTCCATAAAGTTATGAAACCTATTATAATGCAATCGATCATCGATCGGTTTACTACTTTTGATTACAAACCGATTATTGATTATGATTTTAAACCGATTGCCCATCACTAGACTGACCATGTGTACAGTCAATACCTGTGAGATTACATTATCTTTAGTAGCTTAACCAGATGCCCCTCACTAGACTGGCCATATGTACAGTCGATGCATGTGATATTACATTATCTTTAGTAGCTTAAACAGATGCCCCTCACTAGACTGACCATATGTACAGTCGATGCCTGTGATATTACATTATCTTTAGTAGCTTAAACAGATGCCCCTCACTAGACTCTCCATATGTACAGTCAGTACCTGTGAGATTACATTATCTTGAGTAGCTTAAACAGATCCCCCTCACTAGACTGACCATATGTCCAGTCAATGCCTGTGAGATTACATTATCTTGAGTAGCTTAAACAGATGCCCCTCACTAGACTCACCATATGTACAGTCAATGCCTGTGATATAACATTATCTTTAGTAGCTTAAACAGATGCCCCTCACTAGACTGACCATATGTACAGTCAATGCCTGTGAGATTACATTATCTTTAGTAGCTTAAACAGATGCCCCTCACTAGACTCACCATATTTACAGTCAATGTCTCTGAGATTACATTATCTTTAGTAGCTTAAACAGATGCCCCTCACTAGACTGACCATATGTACAGTCAATGCCTGTGAGATTACATTATCTTTAGTAGCTTAAACAGATGCCCCTCACTAGACTGACCATATGTACAGTCAATACCTGTGAGATTACATTATCTTCAGTAGCTTGACTCGACAGTCTGTTTTATTATTGTAAAACTTGGGTTACTATTTACAGTACTTACAAGTCTTGAGGAGGGTAAAAATGGCAGGCAGACTTTTCAGTTGTTCCCTGAGTTTGGTCGCCGTGATGCTGGGAAGGTGGATTGGGGCCGAGTCCATCAGGGGCTCAATGGCTGCCACTATGTGTTCCAGTTGCTCCTCATATTCAAACCAACTCTAGATGTGTGGATAAAAGTGTATGCTAAAATAAACAGAACTAGACTTTCAGGGATTAAATTGTTGATTTTTTTGGTTTTTTTTATTTTCTTCATGAAGAACACCGACATGAAAAACAACATCCTTTTTAACATAAATAGAAACAATAAACAGTATTAACTTCAACCTCATATATATGTTGTATCAACTAGCTGCAATGGATTTAAGGAAGAGTGGAGGGTGACAAAGTGTTATGTCTCCTCAAAGTTTAGTTATGTCACCCTCCCATGAACATATGACTCTAATATAAACATGAGGTTGATAAGGACCTCATCTTCCTAACTAGACAAATTTGGAAGTGAAGTTTCATTTTAGGTTGAAACCTGCCCAGCAGTTTGGTCAAGGATACATTTTAAGTAATTTTATATATATAAATCAACCTATAGCTAACTGACCCCTTTTGTCCCCATCTTCGTATCCCCCAAGATGGTCAGCCCCTTTATCTGTATACATTTTGATAGCTATAGTCCCCATGAGCTATAGTGCTACCACCACAATTTGTTTGAAATATGCAGAGCAGTTTGGGAAGAGATGTCATCTAAAGCAGGCCAACCAATTGCAAACTGACCCCGCTGACACTTCTGCCCGGGGAGGGTCAGAGGATGTGTCTTTGAAAATAAATTAACCAAATTGGCCCTTTTAGACCCAACGTTCTTGTATCCCAGAAAGGTCATTCCCTGAATTTACTTTTATAAATTTTGATTTCCATGAACTTGACCAGTAGTTACGGAGGAGATGTCATTTAAAGCAAATTCGCCAACCGGACCCCTAATTTGAATCATCTTCCTCAGCTCTCAAGATCCTTAAGAGGGTCAACCCCTTTACAGTACTTGTATAATTTTTGTTGTTTTTTAATCACTAAAACATTTCAATATCATACCTTGGCGTCTTTCTCAGAGAACTGTGCTATAGATTCAGCTGTCTTTTTACTGTCTCTATGGAGAAGGAGGGATCTTGCTTTTCCGTCCCTTCCCCCAGGTGTCAGGAGAGGCGTGTATGAGCTTGGGTCACGTAGATATACCTCAAGGCCATATTTCTGTATAATTTATCCATTAATGAAACAGAAGAATAAAATAGTGAAACTGGAAGATTACGTAACAGACAAAGTGAAACCCTAATGTCTGAAATACAGTGTTAAGGTCGAGAGATTTCTTGATATAGTCATGTAATCACCACACAATTTTACTGCTGAAGTTATAACATAGTATCAAGCAAACTTCAGTTAATTGATATCGAAAAAACACATTTCTTATATACTTCTTTGAAAAAACTTCATGTTTATCTGACTTTTTCTTACAAGTATAAAAATCATTATACCTTTAGTTCCAGATCTTGTACTATATTTGGTCTCAGAAGACTCAAGACATAGGATGCTCGGGAAAACTTAAAACCTGTGTCAAAATAAATCAGCATGATTTTAATGTGGTGCCTGAATTTATAGTCAACAATCCAGACAAAACACTAGACAGGTAGTCAGACTAGACAGGTAGTATATATATACACTACACAGGTAGTCAGACTAGACAGGTAGTATATATAAACACTACACAGGTAGTCAGACTAGACAGGTAGTATATATAGACACACTAGACAGGTAGTCAGACTAGACAGGTAGTATATATAGACACACAAGACAGGTAGTCAGACTAGACAGGTAGTCAGACTAGACAGGTATTCAGACTAGACAGGTAGTCAGACTAGACAAGTAGTCAGACTAGACAGGTAGTATATAGAGACACACTAGACAGGTAGTCACACGAGTAAGGTAGTCACACCAGAAAGGTAGTCACAGTAAACAGGTAGATACACTAGACAGGTAGTCAGACTAGACATGTAGTATATATAGATACACTAGATAGGTAGTCACACTAGACAGGTAGATACACTAGACAGGTAGATACACTAGACAGGTAGATACACTAGACAGGTAGATACACTAGACCAGTAGTCACACAAGACAGGTAATCACACTAGACAGGTAATCACACTAGACAGTTAGTCACACCAGAAAGGTAGTCACACTAGACAGGTAATCACACTAGACATGTAGACACACTAGACAGGTAGACACACTAGACAGGTAGTCACACTAGACAGGTAGTCACACTAGACAGGTAGTCACACTAGACATGTAGTCACACCAGAAAGGTAGTCACACTAGACAGTTAATCACAACAGACAGGTAGACATACTAGACAGGTTATCACACTAGAGAGGTAGTCACACTAGACAGGTAGTCACACAAGACAAGTAGTCACACTAGACAGATAGTCACACTAGACAGGTTATCATGCTAGACAGGTAATCACACTATATTTCTGTGTTATACTTACCAGGAATGATCTCCTCTGTAACAGCAGCGCCCCCTATCACGTGTCTCCTCTCTACTACACAAACACTGAGCCCCGCCTCCTGTAGGTAGGCTGCCTGATACAATCATACAACTGTTAATCAATATTTTACATAAGCAGCTTTGTTCTCATGAAGTTTGCATACGTGTACATCAATGTAATAAACTTAGTAAAATGTAATAAACTTAGTAAAAATTATCCAATATTGATTAACCTAACCTTTGTTTACACATTAATCTTAAATATGTCTTTGTTTGTGTACTGTGTTAGGCGCCCATGGATTTTAAATCACTCAGGGCCAAACAACATTGTAATTGTCATCTTTGTACTGAAATTGATAATAGTGATGATCAATAGTTTATATTTAATTCACTTAAATACAAAATCTACATGAAAATTTGGCCACATACAACTTTATTCAAATCTCTACATTTTGTAATAATCAAACAAGAAACAACTTCATCATTTCTCTTCGGCACATCAAAATACTACATTTCTATGAATATTTATTAATATTAATAATTTGATACTTACTGATACCAAACCATTGTGCCCTGGTAAAAAAAGAAGTAAATATCCAACTGAATATATATACATATAAATAACAGTTTACCAGACTGGTATATATATATATATACATATAAATAACAGTTTAACAGACTGGTACTTTGATATACATGTATGCTCAACCAGTGTGAATTGTTAGTCTTCAAAATATAAAGTTAGAACTGACATTTCATGAACTATCTACACTCTAGAATGACAACCAGTAACTGATACATTATATTGCTACCAGTGATCATCTTGGAAAACATGCATATGGTAGGTAATATAAGGAAGATACAATTCCAAAAAATGTTGCACTTTATAATAATCATTTCAGCTCTGTGTTTTTTTTAAACTTGAAATATACATATATAGGCATGATTTCGTTTTATCCCATACATTATTATCATTGATTATTCCCCTTTCTGATTTTGTTCGGATTTACATCAATGTTTGAATTTTAAATTATGTAAATAGTTGATCAGTTAAAATTGCATTCGTTTTCATTATCCTCGTTTCCAAAACCAATTATTTTCGTAGCAATTAACTTTGTGTATTCTTTTCTTTCAAATAGCTTAAGCTGAAAGTTATTACAAACCTGCTCCAACTATAACCACATCATATCTTGATTTCAGTTCATTTTTAGCGGTAAACGTTGTTGTGCTGTATTTACAGTTTGGCAGACGACAACTCTTGATTGTACCACATATTCCTTTCAACCTCCCTCTAAATGCCATATTAGAGATCGTTTACACAAACAGTGCAAACTACCTGCAAACACAAAGCAAGTCGAACTCTATCTGACAGACGCCATTTTCTAGTCATGTGACTTTGCTTCAGGGACTGTCTCAAAATACAATTAATTTATTTTTATTAACTGAATGAATTTAACCAACGTGAAAATAAAACAAAATTGCATTTATCATAGGCTAAATTTTAAAGTTCTCGGATATATACTTATTCTTCCGAAAAATTAAACCAAGATATTCCGGAATTCACTGTCCTTTGGATGTGGATATTAGTTTGATTTACACAAATCATGTGATACGTCAAACTTCCGCCTGAAGAAAATGGACAGAAAACTTGTTCCACTCGTCGCTGTCACGGGATTTTGGGCCGTCGTTGGGATTATTTTCCCAATTTTGACCCAATTTTTCATGAGAGGATCACCAAACAAAGGGTTTGTAGCTTCAATCTGACCAAAATTCTTTTTAAAAGGGAAAAAATCGTGCTTCATGAAGTGTCCATCGCTGACATATGATCATGACCACCAGACGATGGTTTGACAACAGAGGAATGCCCTTATTTCAAGATCCTTAGCCCGGCTAACCTCGGTATTAAATAAAAGACACTTTATCCCGAATCCATAAATCACGACTTTATTCATTATATTTATGTATTTACGTTTTGCATTAATATCTGTTTCAATATAACAGTAATCAAATCAGCTAAATAATCATGCCACGTTATAATAATCAAATTATCAGTCTATGAAAATACAATATGTTGGCCGGATCGCCTGACCAAACACTTTTAAATAGTAATACTAGTTATCGTTACTGTAAATAATTTGTACGTGGATATGTTTCTTTTGGTGAATGTATGCATATGTTGATTATCATAATTGATAACATGTTTTAAAGAATCATTGAATAGCTCCCAAAATACAATGTACCCCGGTATGATATATATTGGTTCTGTTGATATCAAACTTAAATTACAATGCCAAAGAATTTGATAACAAATGATAACATTTGATCATGAAAACTGGTTGGGGTTGATCATTATGTGAAGCAAAACTGGACTTTTCCATCTGTCATCAAATAGTGTGTCTCGATGATCTCACAACTGACTGTTTAATTAGTCCATATTACCAGAAAACTGTATAGTGGGATACAACATTCAACAGAAGGAACTAGTGAAGGGTTAGACACTAACTATTTTTGCTTGGTAGTCCACAGGACTAGTTGAATAGATTACTTACTAGTCCTTCATCAATGTAACTAGTCCCAAGATTTCCCGGATAATGAAACATGGCAATTAACAGCGACAAAATATCAAAAGTACAGGACTTAAAATATAAACATATGGTGAAGTCTTAGGAAAATTCTGACAATTATCGTACGATATATCTTATTTAAAACAGTTTTCCAAAATTTAAAAATGACTATTCTTATTTTATAATCACTATTTTCGCAAGTCCAAAGGACCAGTTAGGTAAGGTGATTCAATAGTCCTTGCTGAAATCTAAATCTACTAGTCCAGGACTAGCGGACTAGTGTTAGCGTCGACCCCTGTAGTGTCAAGGAATTGTAAATGTTTCTACACCAGGTACTTTCGCTAGCTATAATTATAAGAATACACTCAATAGGATGTTTCAGTACTTTTTTGTATAGATAAAAAAAGCTGAAGAATCTTATATAAAATCAGCAACACACAGAACACAGGAAACAAACAAAGCACAAAGTTGAAATGTTAGTTTATTGACCAAATGCAAGAAATATTATAAAAATAATGGAAAAATAATCAGTAGTACTGAATTTCTGAAACGTCTTATACAAGGACCAAAACATCTAAGTCTGTAGCAATACCACAGAGTATCGAAACATCTGTACTCTGGTCAGTGAAGTGTTATAACTATAAGTGTATGACTGTGAGGAGAAACTGTATCGATATATATTCCAAGTATTCTTCAGTTTGAAATAGAAGTACAATTGGTTGAGTGTTGTTGATAATAATAATAATATACAGCATTTATATAGCGCCCTATATAATTTGTAAAATTACTCTAAGGCGCTTTACAACATATATGGATAATAGTAATGGTTATAATTGTGAAAACAAACAACAAAGGCTTGCAATCACTTTCATACATTTAACAAGCAATGTGCACATAATTGAACAAATAAAAGGGTGGTATTTACATGACGTCTTTGCAAAGATTCTAAAATGCAGACGTGAAGAGGTGAGTTTTTATGTCCCTCTTGAACTTGGCCAGGGTATTTGACTTCCTAACAGCAGATGGTAAGCTATTCCACAATATAGCCAAAACCCTCCCAAAGCATCTGTTTCCGTAGGTCACAGTACAAGATTTTGGGACACACAACAAAGATTCTGACTCCGACCGCAGTGATCTTGACGGCTGATACAGGGTAACAAGTTCCTGTAGGTACTGAGGAGCTGTTCCATTCAGTGCCTTGTATGTGTATACCAGAATTTTGTACTGCGACCTGTATCGTACAGGTAACCACTACCAGTGCAACGAATAAAGCGCAGGTGTGATGTGCTCATCTCTTTCGAGTAACTAGCCTTGCTGCAGTGTTCTGGACCCTCTGCAGACGACTAGTTAGTTTGTCAGATATACCACAGAGCAGGGCGTTACCATAATCCAACCGAGAGGTAACAAGTGAATGCACCAAAATCTTGCATGCATCTGCAGTTAGAAACTGCCGAATACAGCCGATGTTCCTGATCTGGTAGTAACAGGATTTGGCAATAGCGTTCACTTGTTTCTCCATGTTCAGAGAACTGTCAAAGTATACCCCTAGGTTTTTAACAGCTGGAACAGTCTCAATAGTTCTGGCACCAACCTTGAGCTGGAGAGCCATTGTTTGCTGACACTTTGGGGAAAAGACGATTAGTTCCGTCTTTTCCTGATTAAGTTTAAGCATGTTGGCGTTCATCCAGATACTGATATCTGTCAGACAAGCTTCCAGACTTTCTGAGACTGTATTCCAACTGTCCTGTGGTTTTATGACCATGTAAATTTGTGTGTCATCAGCATAGCAATGATAGCGAAGGCTATGGCGACGACAAATCTCTCCAATCGGTTTGGAGTACATACAATATTTTCGTGGTACTAACACTGACCCTTGAGGAACCCCGAAATCTAGTACTTTGTCATGTGAGGTGGTAGATCCGATGGCAACACACTGTCGTCGTTCACTCAGGTATGACTGTATCCAGCATAGTGCGGTATCAGTCACTCCATAAGAGTGTTCCAGACATTTATAAAGTATGCCATGGTCGATGACGTCAAATGCAGCAAATTAACAATTAATTATTACTGAATTCAAAATCTAGTACATCTGTACTAATACAGATATAATTTTGTTAAGAAAAACCTGTATGACTGTAAAATATGAAAAATTGAATGAGGAAAGCTACAGTGGTTATGGGATAAAGTAGAGTACATGACATGTTGTCTGGTTTGGTCGCTGACCAGGCCTAAGTACATGTTGTTTGGTTTGATTGCTGACCAGGCCTAAGTACATGTTGCTCGGTTTGATCGCTGACCAGGCCTAAGTACATGTTGTCTGGTTTGGTCGCTGACCAGGCCTAAGTACATGTTGTCTGGTTTGATCGCTGACCAGGCCTAAGTACATGTTGCTCGGTTTGATTGCTGACCAGGCCTAAGTACATGTTGCTCGGTTTGGACGCTGACCAGGCCTAAGTACATGTTGTTCAGTTTGATCGCTGACCAGGCCTAAGTACATGTTGTCTGGGTTGGTCGCTGACCAGGCCTAAGTACATGTTGCTCGGTTTGGTCGCTGACCAGGCCTAAGTACATGTTGTTCAGTTTGATCGCTGACCAGGCCTAAGTACATGTTGTTCGGTTTGATCGCTGACCAGGCCTAAGTACATGTTGCTCGGTTTGGTCGCTGACCAGGCCTAAGTACATGTTGCTCGGTTTAGTACGATATCCATGCATACTGTATATAAAATACAGGTTTCCCTTATGTCATGATGAGAAGTGAGTGTAGTTCAGTCTACATGCAAGCAGCAAAATTATTTGTGACCCACAAGTAAAACTCCCTCCATCAAATTATAGTGTTTAACCACTTTCACCCCTATATAACTTCAGTAGACTCTACCATGCTTTGACCTGGATGAGTCCATTATAGTCTACAGTGATGAAAGGGTTAGCCTATATTGCAGGTTAAGGGCTTGGCATATTTTTACATACTGAGTGTTCAGACTAAAACTACCTATATTTATATAATGATACATTTTGAACATTATAATACTTTAATATCAGTTTTGTGTTTCCTTTCTTTCCAGAATCGTCCAGTTGATGATGATGATGACAGCTGCGTGCTGCTACCTATTGTAAGTGTACCAAGGTTTTATACATTTCATTAACTCACTCACCCCTGAAATTTCATTATGAACTATTCCAACCTTTGAATTTGAAGAGTTCACATGTGTCTTCAGGGGTGAATAAGTTATTTGCAGTGATTAAAATTTAAACTTCATGCATGTATGTGTACTAGTAACATAAGCCGAGTTATAAAATAGTGATTGCAATTAAAATATTTGGATACAACATACCCAGTACAATGAAAAACATGCTTAAAGATAAATAAATAAATATACAACATTTAATATAGCGCCCTATCTATCTAGAATAAGCCACTCTAAAGTGCTTTATAGTACAAAGATATACAATTTATACAATCAATACAATTAGCATATACATTCATCAATACAATTTTAAGGAATTCGCAGTGTTAAAAAAGTATTTTTTTATTAATAATAGAAATAAGATTCAAACAACAGTTGACAGGTGAACATTTTATTGATGTGTGATTTCTTTCCAGCTGGCTCTGTGCATTCCTCTTCCAACTGAATCCCCTTTTGGGACCTGACCTTGAAACAGGACTGATACGAGTGATGATGTATGAGTGGGGCAATAAGTGAGCAGGGCCAAAACAGATAGGTAGGCAGAATCAACATTCCTCTGGAACATTTTACAGTAAAGAGTCGATCATCTGATCCCAGCAGGACACCTATTATCGTTTGATTAGCTGTTTAGATGAATTTGTCAAGGTTAAAGACTGAATTGAAACTCATACAGGCTCTTTATATGTTTATTTCATGATTATATTAACTCAAACAGTTCATAAAGACTTGAATGATAAACTTGCATGTTAGATAAAGTGAAATGCAGATATGGTTGTATTATGGGTTTAACCCTTTCAACCCTATGCAGCTTTAATTGATGAACTTAACCATGCATTGATTTGGATGAGTCCATTATGGTTTAGTGGTGAAAGGGTTAGAAGGGGGATAACTCATGTGTACAAGAATTTTCTTATTATTGTAGTCATTACGTATACATTTATGCAAATTTTGTTTCTTTTACAGATGACATGCTAGTCTTTCCAGTGGTATCATTCCATCAGTCACACTTGCATTAAGATCAACATTGAAATCCGTCAAAACGGAATTTCATAAACATCTATTGTAGATTACAAGAACAGAATTATTACTATTTAGTTGTAATGTGATCTTGTGAACCCATTCATTTATTTAACCAAGATTTAAGCCATGTGATATATGATTTGTATTTTTGACATATGTAGCTGAACTATTTCTTTTGTTTTAAAATAGCACATATTGGAGTAAAATTGAACACCGAAGATTTTATTGGACCCTTGAGAGTATGTTTTTGGTTTCCAAAAATTAGATTTGACTCTGACATCGGTTTGAAGGGATTGTTTTTTGACATGTGTTTTGATGCTCCAGTTCCGAGGAAGTCATGAAATTGATGAGGCCAAAATTAAAAAAAATGTGTTTCCTATTCTCTTACCTACCTTGAAAAAATCCTCCCTGCTTGAAGTAGCCAAAATTAAGAAATTGGATGTAACTAAATCCATAGAAGAATCAAATCATTTAGAATCATTTAAGTGCATTCAAAGTAATCTTCTTACAAATTAAATACATCTATTCAATAAATAGTGTATGTTGTTCATGAAAATGACATAAAAATTTGAGGAAAAAATTATATATTTTGACTATATAACTACCTGCATTCAAAATCTAATAGAATAGGAAACACACACATGATTGTATTGGCCTAAATGTCAAGCGTCACCTGGAAGCTCTGGTGTTGTAATAACATCAACAAAACTGCACTTAAATGGATGTTAAATTGGATCAACAATCATGGAAAGTAAATAGTTGGAATTGTAAGTGATTGATTTTGGGTATAAAGAGGGGTAACTCATGTGTACATGAAACTTGTTATAAATGTAGTCATTTTATTTGTGTTTCATATGTTGTGTTATTTGTCCGTAAATGTTTTATGTTTATTTGAAAGAAAGTCACCTGTCTGCTTATGTTATGTACATACAAGCAGACATTTCTCATGAGTGCTGTACACCAGTATTGGAAGTGTCATGATTTGGACTGGTATAGAACCTTTTGTACATTGTTGTATGTAACTTTCAAAACAACTGACATACAACAGAACCAGTAACGTTTTTTAGCTGTGTATATTGTCAGAGCAACAAAAAGGACATTTCTTTGAGGCCAACATGAAATAAATTCAAAATTTATCAAATCGAATTCTATAATTTTTGGTATAAATGCAGTGAGTCTTTTTAAAGCTTAAAGCTTGTATCCTATTCGTTTTAATATTTTGTTTAGGTTTCCCAAAATAAAAGACATATGAACTAATAAATCTTATTTATGTCTGAGGAATGTTGAATGTATATTATACAAATATATTATGTGGAGACACTTACTATGGGGATAGCCTACTGTTGTTACATTTTCTAGAATGGTTGGTATATAATGTGTAGAAATAAAGAAAACTTAGATACGACTGTGGTGATTTGTGATTGTTTTCTTTGTACATTTATAACTACAACTGAACTGTCGGTTCACAGTGCTCCCTACACTCTACACAATGACAGTTTTCTGAAAATAAATGCAAGGGAAATAACTCCGATTTAATTTTATCTGTGCTGTTAGGTACAACTTGGGTAATACTTTTAATCACAACACAAACGATATGCATAACAAGATTTTTCAACAATTACTGTGCCAATTCTAAGGATGGCTACAATTAAAAACTATAACCTGTTGTGAAATACAAGGGCGATAATTCTGTAGCCTTAATCATATGATGCTGCCGTTCGCAACCACACTATTTTTTATTTTATTTTTAAATCGACATTGGAGTTAATCTCTTCCAGCATGAATTGAACCCAAGGGAGGTAGCACCAGACCATGATGCTCTTTAAAATTGAATTCATTACTCTGACACGTGTCGGGGAGACGAAAATAGATACATAATGAGGAAAGATAGAGATCGCATATATTGCAGTGGGCAGAACTGATGTTCCTCCCATTTTTACAGAGATGTCTCCCATTTTAGATTTCGCCGTCATCCATGTAGGGAAGATTTTGTTGAATGATAATGTGTTGTAGCCGAATAAAAAATAACTCTTTTAAAAAATTGTCAGATGACCGGTCCTTTAAAATATATCGCATTGAACAAAATTTAAAGGTTAATTTCATTTCTCGTTTATAGCCATACCCGACCATGAACCTGAACGAGCGTTGTAATACATACAAGTCAGGATGAAATCAATATGACAACAATAATGATACTTGGTTTGTTTATGTTTTGCGTCCTTAAAAGGACGTGCCAGGTTTTGGTAAGGGCGAAAATTGAATTACCCGGGGGAAAAACCATCGACCTACGGCCGGTACCTGGCAACTTCCCCACGTAGGCTTCGAACCAAGTGGTGGAGGGCTGTTGCTCGTATTGTGTGTATAGTTGTTAACGTTCACTAACACATCAGATCACGGATACTGAAGGCTGGGACCCACACATGCAATCGGGAACTGTCGGCATGTTCCGTAAAGGGGGAGCTGCGTCTCTCTCCGTCAACTTTATTCTTTAAAATCAATTACTTATTTGAGAAAAACTGAGGACGACAAGTCAGGATGATTGGGTAGTAGAATCGTGGGATATTTAACTTTACTTTTTTTCAATGTCACAGGGGTCAAACAAAAACAACCTTCAAACTACTTCAAATGAACTGAGAGGCCTAGAGTCATAGCCAAAAACGTGCTGTCATCAAACGGAGAGCTTCAAAGTTCTCGAAAAGAAATGATAATGACATTTACGAAAGATCACTGTGATCAAATGTTTAAAAGACCTCTTCTGCAGAACCAAAAGTCTCAGAGTCATGATATCTTGTCATTAGATTGCAGACATGGTGTGCTATAAAGCATTGAACTTATGTATATCGTACTGGTTCACCTACATATATATATGTATATCGTACTTGTTCCCCTACATATATATATGTATATCGGACTGGTTCAATTATGTAGGTGAACCAGTACGATATACATATATATATATATGTATATCGTACTGGTTCACCTACATATATATATGTATATCGTATATCGTACTGGTTCACCTACATATATATATGTGTGTATATTGTACTGGTTCACCTACATAAATATATGTATATCGTACTGTTTCACCTACATATATGTATGTATATCGTACTGGTTCACCTACATATATATATATATGTATATCGTACTGGTTCACCTACATATATATATATGTATATCGTACTGGTTCACCTACATATATATATGTATATCGTACTGGTTCACCTACATAATTGTGCCGTAGACAAATTATAACAGCATTTCCCACGAGGGAAAATGATACCTCTGACTTCAATATACCAGTAATAACTTCACATAACAAAGGCCTAGGCAGGCATACAACTCACACGAAAGAATGAAAACGGAAATGTCCTATAGACGCTCTGTTTATTTAGTTAACAAACAATAATTAGGCAAACAATAACATTTAAGATAAATATAACAACTTCCAGGGGAGGAGACTTTTCCATTTCAAAGTCGAAGACACTTTAAATAAAGTCGCCTTTTTTCTCCTGCCGCCCACGATTTTGATTTTGTCCTGAAGTGACGAAGGTCGTCGAGATGTGACTGTGAACGCATTGGTAGATAGGCTGATGGTGTACACAGTTCCTACAAAATAAACAGGTAGAAATTCATAATTTGAAACAAAAATTGCCACCTTCTCAAGAAATCAATATGATAATTTATAAATAACGATAACAAAGTAATCGGAGCCTGTATTCCCTATCAACATTACATATTATTAACAAATATGTATTACCCTTGTTGTAAGCAAACAAGATTTTTATTTATTTTTTTCCCGCAGATTAGTCATTTTTCACGAGGACGAAGCGTGAATGAAACATAATAAATATATCATTTTACCGAAATAAAACAATAATACAGCAGTTAAGATTATCAGGTTGGGCGCCATTATTCATCACTTGAACCTCGGTCGTGGTGACTCTTGCGAAGTTTTCTAGAGAGGCTCCGAAGAAGGGAAACATGACCTTGAAAACTCGAGCGCTTGAGGCTAGTTACGTCATTTTATTTACCCTTCATCAATATAATCCAATCAGACATGTATTTCGAATGTTTTTTATTGAATTTTCCTGACATCACGTTTGGTGCCATTGAAACGAAATATTGGGTCCTGAAAGATAGTTTTCTGAGTTTTCATCTCACAGTAATGTCATATCGTCACCCGGTTCCAAAATATGATGTTTCAATCACAAAAAATGCAGCGTTTTTGTCTTTACCTAACCACATTATTTAAGAAATACATTACTAATTCCGAGATTAATTAATAATATCTTATAAAACCAATAAACGGGGAAAATATGAAAATTCTATTTTAATTCTTTCAAAACCAGTGTATGTTAATTACATGTAAGTTCCACCCTAGTACCTTGTATGACTGAAAGAACGCCTGGTAGCCGCCATCAAGGAGGTAGATCTCCGGATAGATCAGAGCCGGGTACTTGTCCATGTTGAGGGCGCGGTCCTTCTCTCTGAGGAAGCGGTACCTACAATTGTGTAACGGTAAAGGTACCACAATGACATTTATCAGAGGACGTGATGCCACTCGGTGAACAGGAGGCATTGACACACGAGCTGTATATTTTAGAATATAGAAATTCAATTAAAAAAACTATCAAATAATAAAAGAAAGAAAGAAAAAACTACATATAATGTAATAAAGAAAGAAATATTGAAAAAATAAAGTACATTCTTAACTATGTATTATTTAAAAAGTATTTTTTTAGTGTTATTTACACTGAACTGGAGTGCCTCTGATAGAGGTCAAACTGACCTAGCAATTTTAAAAATCAAAACAAATGTTGTCTATGTAGGGGTGTCATTTGTACTTCTCCCACCCTTCACAGGTGTGTCCCCCGTTTTTATTAAAATGCGTCACCGGTAATTGTGACGTCATAAAAAGTGAATGACGAAATTCATACCCCAAATGTGTTTTTGTTTACACTACTGTCAGTAGAGTTGTGACTGAAATAATAGGATGGGAGATAGAGAAACCTCTAACCCTCGGGGTGATTTTGGTTGTCTAACCCTCGGCAGAGCCTCGGGTAAGACAACCAAAAAAAATCACCCCTCGGGTTAGAGATTTCTCTATAACACCCTCAAGGTAGGGGAAGATTCTATTAGTCATTTATCCATGAGGTTCGCGGCTGCAAGGCCAACTGAGGAGCACGTGAATCGTTAAATGGAAAGTAGCATAAAAAAGTTTCACAGAATACCTCATCATACCTGGTCAATATCGACTAAAAATCAAGGTACATATGCAGTAATCAACGGGATATTCCCCGCTACTGTGCCGAGTACGCGCAAGCGAGCTTTAAGTAATAGCATATCTTGCAAAAATGAGATTTAAAAATATATCTCAACTTAGGTTTTTAAGCAAATGTCAAGCAAATGTTTTATGAATAATATATGTGGCGTACTTACATAGAAGGGGCCCGTACTGATGAGAATTCGCAATAAAAAACGAGTTTTTGAGGCGCCATTCCGCTCCCTGTCGACACTGAACCTTCCTCCAAGAGTCCAAGGATTTGCTCGTGTGTGTACAGACTTTCAGCACCCTGGACCAACACAAAACATCAATTTTTATTGATTTTCAACACGCAAATATTTCTACAAATTTAAATTCGATGTGCTGGATGAGTGTTTGTTGATTTTTAATTGGATGTTAACGTCTTCGAGACAGCATTTCGTATCAAATTGTACCGACTTCTAAAGCAGATAAACGCTCTAAACTGTAATTTTTTCAGCGATGTTAAATATTGTTTATTGCTATAACTATTGATGGCAAATCCTCTTTATTTATCTACAGGGTATCTATATCGGATTCAAGTGATAACATATTATTAATGTAGTGAACAATATCCCTTTTAATTAACAAATCATACGTAAAGTTCCCAGAACGTTTTTGGTTTTTGAAAAGATTCATGTAGCACACCCAATAGGTGTTTCTATGTGACGTTTTGGCTGTAACCTACCCCATGGTTTGTAGCACCACCAATAAGTGTTTCTATGTGACGTTTTGGTTGTGACCTACCCCGTGGTTTGTAGCACCACCAATACGTGTTTCTATGTGACGTTTTGGTTGTAACCTACCCCGTGGTTTGTAGTACCACCAATAAGTGTTTCTATGTGACGTTTTGGTTGTAACCTACCCCATGGTTTGTAGCACCACCAATAAGTGTTTCTATGTGACGTTTTGGTTGTAACCTACCCCATGGTTTGTAGCACCACCAATACGTGTTTCTATGTATCGTTTTGGTTGTAACTTACCGCTTGGTGTTGATCATGTACTGATCTGGATGAACCTTTTTAAAACAGACACTTATTTCAATATCCGGTTCCGGTGACGTACCTGGATGTGTCCGCCCTTGTACTCGTACGGGTATCTACAGTCAACCAGCCTAATCTGTCTTCCCTTGTCCCCGAAACGCAAGGCCTCCGACAGCTGTCAACGACAGTGAGTTAAGATTAAGGGGAACAAACGCATCAGTTAAAATCTCGTTAAAGGCTCGGGAGTTTGTTTTGAACACAAACAGGAATTGAAAACTTATTTTGCGAGCTTTCGAAAACGTATGGGGTTTTTTTGTCAAAAAAATAGTGTAAATGACTGGTGTTTCGACTCTAAACAACACAATAATCCACAGGGTGCCGAATCAGTAAAGTCAGCTGTCAAAAAGCATTGAGACATTTCGCCCAATTGCACTCTAACACTACAGGCAGTCAGGGGGTCGAGTAACATGTTTCCCCATTCCGCCCCTTATTGTTTCATTTCAGACTGAGTTGTTTTATTCTTCCAGAATGTAAAGCGGTGTAAACACTGTTCTAGACATACTTCCGTTTGCCATGTATTCATCTTTCTTTTTTAAACTTTTCATTTACAACTCCTGTGTTACAACATTGGTAAAGTCCTGGGCTGAAAAAGATTGCCATTCACTTCGACCCATGGCTTTTTCTGATTATTTCATAGACTTTGTTTTCATAATACTGAATTTTGGAAAAGTATTTATTTGTTAAAGCCTCGTAAGATATATTTTGTTAGGAATACTTCTGTAAAACATTTAATGAATACCAATGACAACAATACAGATTTAACCTGGTAACACCCTAAACCTTAATGACGTAGGTCTAGGTTTGGAGCGTGGGGGCATTGACAACCTTCAGAATACGTATAGTGTAAATATCATATAGCATTGACGGTTAACTTGAGATAACATTTATAACTTGCTACTATGAGTTCCCAGAGAGACTATGGTTTATCTGGGGACCAATATCACAAGAACATCGCATTTAAAAGCATCTTTAGGATGATTCCCATGACTGATAGTCCTAAGACCATTTCACATTATCAATCCCCATTGTATGATGAAGTAAGCGTTACAAATTTATCATATAGTAGTACATTTTAAGGTTTTTATTTAGAACAGACAGCAGGCCAAAATGACCGGTTCAGTTATGAATTTAACATTTTATTTTATTTTTCATATGTAATTTTACCGAAGTTGGCCGGTTAAAAATGTCATTTGGTCTGTTCAAATAGAAATTACGTGAATATCAGTCATAGCGATTTATTTTCTCTTTGATACGCAACTCTTTTTATGTCTTTTCCTTCTTTCATACGTCTAGATATCAGAAATATGAAAATAGCGTGACTCACTGTGAGAGAGCTGACACTCTTGATGTCAACGTGCTGTCCTGCCACTGTAGGTAGACAGTGTGACGCACTTCCGTCTCCGATCAGACAGTCGTTGTCGGACAGCTTTTCCACCATCGTCCGAACGTCGTCACTTCCTGCCTCCATTAAGGCGAGATTTAACTCGGATTCAGCCTTTGAATAAAAGTAACATAAAGCTGAACAAAGGTATTGTCTACGCTGACCTCGCCATTACATGTACGCTGACCTCGCCATTACATGTTTCAGACACTAGTTTTGTGTCTACACGGACCTCGCCATTACATGTTTCAGACGCTATTTTTGTGTCTACACTGACCTCGCCAATACATGTTTCATACGCTAGTTTTGTGTCTACACTGACCTCGCCGTTACATGTTTCAGACACTAGTTTTGTGTCTTCACTGACCTCGCCATTACATGTTTCAGGCGCTAGTTTTGTGTCTACACTGACCTCGCCGTTACATGTTTCAGACGCTAGTTTTGTGTCTACTCTGACCTCGCCATTACATGTTTCAGACACTAGTTTTGTGTCTTCACTGGCCTCGCCATTACATGTTTCAGACGCTAGTTTTGTGTCAACACTGACCTCGCCTTTACATGTTTCAGACGCTAGTTTTGTGTCAACACTGACCTCGCCTTTACATGTTTCAGACGCTAGTTTTGTGTCAACACTGACCTCGCCTTTACATGTTTCAGACGCTAGTTTTGTGTCAACACTGACCTCGCCTTTACATGTTTCAGACGCTAGTTTTGTGTCAACACTGACCTCGCCTTTACATGTTTCAGACGCTAGTTTTGTGTCTACTCTGACCTCGCCATTACATGTTTCAGACACTAGTTTTGTGTCTACAATGACCTCGCCATTACATGTTTCAGACGCTAGTCTTGTGTCTACACTGACCTCGCCATTATATGTTTCAGACACTAGTTTTGTGTCTACAATGACCTCGCCATTACATGTTTCAGACGCTATTTTTGTGTCTACACTGTCCTCGCCATTACATGTTTCAGACGCTAGTTTTGTTTCTACACTGACCTCGCCATTACATGTTTCCGACACTAGTTTTGTGTCTACACTGACCTCGACATTACATGTTTCAGACGCTAGTTTTGTGTCAACACTGACCTCGCCTTTACATGTTTCAGACGCTAGTTTTGTGTCAACACTGACCTCGCCTTTACATGTTTCAGACGCTAGTTTTGTGTCAACACTGACCTCGCCTTTACATGTTTCAGACGCTAGTTTTGTGTCAACACTGACCTCGCCTTTACATGTTTCAGACGCTAGTTTTGTGTCTACCCTGACCTCGCCATTACATGTTTCAGACGCTAGTTTGGTGTCTACACTGACCTCGCCATTACATGTACACTGACCTCGCCATTACATGTTTCAGACACTAGTTTTGTGTCTACACTGACCTCGTCATTACATGTTTCAGACACCAGTTTTGTGTCTACACTGACCTCGCCAATACATGTTTCCGACACTAGTTTTGTGTCTACACTGACCTCGCCATTACATGTTTCCGACACTAGTTTTGGTGGGTTTTTTGGCGGTGAAAAATTATAATTTAACAGTGTCAATATCTTTATGATTAAAAGCAAAACCTCTTAAATTCAAGGGGGTAACCGTGCTATATTCAAATAGTTACTCTAAAAGGGCTCTATTTATTTCCATGATATGCCTCTAAAACGCAACATTTCGATGAACTTTGATTTCATGGCATAATTAGAGAATGCAAGCAAAAAATGGAAACGTATCGTAGATTAGTCTTTTGTTCATCGTCAACAGAAGAAATTAACTGGGGCTGAAAAAAATCCACATGTAGACACAAACCACGTTGAACAGTGTGAACATTTTGATGGGAGAGAAAGAACCATTCCCTACTCTATGCCACTCGGGTTAGACAATTAAGAATATTAACCCTCGGGTTTTGATTTCTATATCAGATTTTCTGGGTAGAGGGACAGTCTATGAACTTGAAAGCACTAAACAAAATATTATCGTAGACACTCCGTATACACTGAATGATGAAAAATAAAGATGTTATTTACCCCAAAGGACAAACTGCGTCTAACACGGGATACACTCTGTTTCGGGGCTGTTGAGATATGGTCTTCCGGTTGGTCCTGTTGTTTTTTAGTCGGAGCAAGTAATTCCAGGCAACTTCCGTCTGGATCTTCCGGTACCGGTACGAACAGCATTAATGATTTTGGCTGGAATATTAAAAACAATTCTATAATGTTAAGCTATATTAGTGACAATATATATTTGAAATTTGATATATATGTATTTCCCTTCTTTTAGATAATAGTTATTATATCCTTCATCACGAGTCGTATCCACTGAAATTTAAAATATACTTGACCGATCTCTACTCATACTCACTGTGTTAATGAGAGTAAGGTACGACAACTCTGGATAGAGATATATACCTAAAAAGTCTGGCGTTCAGGTATCTATAATTAAATATTTTGTAAATTGTAGGTCCATGTCGTATGGTTTTAAGATACCTGTGTAATGACATCAAGGTAGGTCTAATAATTACCGTGAAATTCTTTTCTTCCAGACTCAGATTACCAAGGTCAGGAGATCCGGGTTCATCGGTTACCATCGTTACCAGCCCGCAATCGCCATCCTGAAACAGGAGATGTTCATTCTTTAGCTGTGTGATCCGTACGGAGCTCATTATCCGATCGGTCAAGTATATTTTCTATATTCTATATCATCTGATGGTGACATAAACACTCAAAGTATAAATCGATCTCACAATGATCTCACGGTTCCCGAAATTTAAGTTGTTGGGTTTTTTCACGCTGTTGAGTCTTAAGCATTCCTGAATATCACAGTGTTCCCCTAACATAAATGTGTTTCTGTAATTAGTATCATTTTTTATAATACCCCATCTCCTAAATTGGCACTTCTTCCCACTCAAATTGAAGGATACCTATGCACAGCACATTCTACTTGGCATCCGTACCTCCATTCCACGAACCATAAACGAAACAAGTAGCCGCTCTCTGTGTTCATCGGATTGACACGGAATTATTAATATTGCACAAATGCTATTAACCTAAACCCCCAAACCGCTGTTTAGTCATGAGTTATCGCCCCTAACACGACTTCTCCATCGTGGGCGTACACTTGTAACAACCCGCCGTCCACCCTAAAACTGATACAAGCGACATGATGTGGTACTGTATTTAATAGAGTTGTAGTCCATTATTTCGGAGATTAAAATCTATCAAACTGGCATACCTCATCACACCTCAGAAAATCTTGGAGAAGTGACTTCCGAACGGACGGGGTCACCACGTGTTCCGAGTGACTTGATATGCGTGACCGGCTCCTGTTTGACTTCATTGTATCGTCACCCTTCACAGGACAAAATTTTAAAAAAAATGATATCATTTGCTATTTATCAGAGTCCCCTCCCCTTGTTGCTTATTCGATTGAAAAATAAAATGTAAGTAATTCATGTTACGTGTATAGTTTTTGTACTGATCATATATTTCATTTCCTTAAGGCGGTAGCAACTGAGATTTAAATATATCTGTTTACTGGGAATTTGTACTAAAGTAGTTTATCTTAATTAAGCTTCTTTTTTTTTAAAGGCACTCGGAATTGTTTCATATATATACAATTATTTCTGGGAGTATGTGCCGTTAACAGTTTTGCGTTAACTAATGTCTAAGTATGACGTCATTTAGCTGATTTCATTTGCAACGTCACACAAATATGAGCCAATTTAAAAGCTTGAGAGCTGTTGTACAAGCTGTCACTAATTGGATGCAAGCAGTGGGTTATAGGCCTATCATGTTGCAGCTTCTGTACCAAAACAGTTGCTATAGGACCGGTCAAAATAGTCGAGTCTTCAACTCTGGTAACTAAAATACCGTATAGAAGTTGCGAAACATAAAACTGATATACGAATTGTAAATGATAGGTATCGCGAAGCTTCGACTTTGAGTTATCTCCCTTCTATATGAAAAATGAAACATAAAAATAAAAAATAAAAAATTCTGGCAAAGAGTTAATTCCGCTGTCAAACTACGTCTCTCTCATGTTGGTACTGTGCATTCCTTAAAGTTAAGGATTAGCAGTGATTAGGCTCGGTGTTCGACCTCTATGGCTTTTTTTATTTTATTATTTATATTTGTTTCACCTACTCAAATTTATAACAACTATCAATCTGTAAAATGCAATATTTGATATAAAAGGAATACTTCTGGTTGAATAAGTCTTTAAATATTATATAAAAACGATAACTGCTATAATATATTTTGACTTGATAGTAGTCTTTACCTTTAAAAAGAGCACGATATAATTCTATGATCAAATCCTACTTTAGTTCCCTAAGAAGTGACAGTGTAAGGGAGTTTTCTAATTGTATACATTTATGTTGACATTAAAAATTAGTAATTTAACATTATAAGAGTTACACACACACATACACATGTATTACATACCTTGTTTCTATATCCGAGTCCCCAGTGTACGTTTGACTGTCAGTCAGCGGTGTACGTACAGTATACACCGATGTATTTACCATATATATATATATTCTTACAGGTGACCGGACATGTCCAGTCGGTGTCCAGTCCTGCGGCTCGTGCACCAGGTAAAGACTTGCTTTACGTAATGAGCTATTCACCAAACTATGACATTAGTGCTGACCATTATGGTCAACGACAGGTAATTAAGAATGTCGATTTCAGTCCTGATTTCATTGTGTAAACATGTTTTAAACTGTCAATTGGTTAGGACTACTGTATTATTATGAAAAATCTTTCCCAGATATCTCATGGTCACCAAGACAAAATAGGACAACTGCCCACTGGGTCAGAATAATAAAAACGCGCAGTTATTTTTTCTAAATCAGACATGCATCACGTGAAAAATGTTCGCAGCTTAATTTACATAATTATATTATCTAGGTCATCTTGCGTATTATAGGTGAATGTGAGAATATACAATGCTGTTCACGGAAAAGGCAAGTCTGGTGAAAGGTCGTAAGTTTGGATTCCACAGACAGCGGTGGACGGTGGTGGCGTCCTTGACTGAGGGCATATTAGCAATGTTGTTTAAATCCACGTGCCAAAAGTAACGGCTGCTATGAGCTATTAAAATACGGACCATAACAAGCAGAAACAATCATGCATCCTGTTTGATGCAAAAGCTTATATTTTGAGCGTCTAGTGAGAGTTTACTGACCTCTGCCATATCTAATTTCAATGCTATTTAAACTTTGACACATTAAGTTCATTTTCGATTTCAGCTCTAAGAGTATGATATTTGCATACGAAGTATTGCTGTCAATGACTGAAGTATATAAACAGTGAAAGTGGTCTGGGTAGGAAACTCCCACAAGGAAACAAACTATCGTCTTAAACGGTTTGCTTCACAAACCTTGATGTGAAATTGGAATAGTACAATATGTACATCTGTTTTACAGAGGGAGCTAGATGAGCAAGGCCGTCAGTAGTCATAGTGATACATTGTTCCTTCTTGTAAATGAAAAATCGCCTCACTGATACGTTCGTGATCACAGAAATCCCGTGCGTAGCTTTTTTGACCTGGACATATCAGTTATTTCCCATTAACAGAGGATTTATATATACATATTTCGGCATATATCCTTCGTGCAGCATACCGCCCGATACAAAAAATGTGTTTTCGAATTACAATTGTTTAAAGATGCTTTTCCATTGGAGTTTTAATTGGAAAATTAAGAGTATATCAAAATAAAACTAAAGCAAATACATATTTGGATCGTAACACCTACTACTGTGTGTTTGTAAAGATAAACTGACATTACACCACCATCATCATCCAGTCGTGATGGAGAACACAGATTACCGCTCGGAAAGAAACCGTATTCGCATAGTATCTGTAACTCTTCATAATCATTTCGATTTTTCTCGGCCACCTGTTTTTTTTTCTTTTTTATATCACGTCCTTTATCACAGCTTCGGTGTCTGGCGTTTATCACAGGACTGTTATGACATCGACTCTTGTCTTATTTCTACTGAGACGTTATCTCCCCTTGCTCTCAGCAGTGCAATCACGCCGCGGGGTGGCGCTGATACTTATCGTTCCTGATATAGAAATATCTCCTACACAACTTAATCTGATAGCGATGATACTAAAATACACTTAAGAATGTAAACATGTAGGTATATCTTTTTGTCTCAACACTTGTATTAAACAGAAGTCGAGATTTTTAGATTTGATGATTTTACAAAATAACGAAAGCTCTTGAAAAAGATTTTTGATTTGTGTAAGAGTTTTTATTTATTAACAAATAAATGCAAATGAATTTTCCCGAAAATATTGAATTTATGAAAGTTATTCAAATAATTCAACTTGCTTCCATGTACAATAGGCTGGATCAGTTTGTTTACGTATTTTGTATTGTATTATTGTTTCATGGTGACTGTTTTTCTCTGTTTTATGCTGTGATATGTAAATTGTCATTTTCCTGTCTTGATAAACGGGCAGATCGCCCTGAAGATTTGACAAATATCTTTATCTGCATTGTCGTTATTACTTCTTTACCCATATATCTATATATGTATATACATTCTCCATTTTAAAGCCACGGAAACTGATATACATGTATTATAGTATGAAAACTATCAAATCCGCTGTGTCATTATTCTATACAATTTGATCTTTGATTGAAGTTTAATGCCAAATAGCAACTTGTGAGCAGACAAATATCACTTTTGTATGTTTGGTTAAAATATAGCAGATATGGATGGGTGTCACACTCCAAAAGATATCTAATTTTTAAGGAAAGTAAAATGTAGATTTCAAGTCGGAGCGTTCAAGTTGGGTCCGCCACTGAGCAGATTTAACAGTTTGTCGTTTGTATGGTATCTGCGCTTAAAAGTATTTCAGCACATTTAATTATTTCTCAGTGTGCATATAAAATCTTGCACTTTGAAATATTGACATGACAGTTTAAGACGTGGCTATTTATCTTGTCTACTGATATTGTGCCTTATAAACCATTCCTAGGGGTTTGGTATTTGATCTGCATTTAAAAAATAAGCATTCCCTCTAGGTAATAAATATGCCACACTCTTGCCAGTTTTATAATTATTATTACACTGTTTTTGACAAACCAACCCCGTTTACCTCTCGAGTTATGTAAACAATTGTTCACTTACCATATAAGGGATAGATATGCGTCTTATCTTTTACCACAAATACTAATTTATTGCTGTTTCACCATAGGATGAATCAAGATTACAAGCAACAAATATGTGTTTTCGTTTTGGGATATCTATCGTTATAAGATGTTGAGTTGTCACGACACAGTGAAAATGAGTGTGTCTGTAGTACACATTTAGTGATGACGTGGCAACAAGTATTGTCACGTCACTCGTCACTGTTCTTCTGGTGCTGTTAGATGGAACTCGATTTCGGACCCGATCATTAAGACTATCAAAACCCGAGATGTTTACTTATGAGATATTGTCTCGGTTATTTTAATAATATGCCGACGCGATATTTAAAAGAAAAAAGTGACAACATATTCATAGATATTATATGTCCACGTCGTGAAATAATATGTCGGCATACGTAAGTCGTACATCGATGGGAAAATTCCACTAGAAAGATTTAAAACTTAACGTCGATTTTCCTGGGGTTTTGTTTTTAATATTTAGGTAATTTATATGAAGAAACACAGAAAGGCTTCCTTTGTATGACGGAGAGGCCTGGAATATCTAGCACATGTCCAATGTTTACCTGATACATCCGAAATTTTAAGACATTTTCAATACCAAACTGCCGGGGAGTGGCATCGCTTCCAGGGGAGATCCATCGGAATATAACGTGTTTCCTTTGTTGACCGGAAGTTGTCGACGCATCAGTCACTAGACTTCCTGCAATTAACAAGTATGCACACTATACATTTCGTTAATATCCCACGGATAATCTATCTACCTATGTAACAGTCTCCATATTAAACTCGAGGCACTCGTCAGAATATCGGTACCTGTTTGAAATTATCAATGTGGAAATGATTACAATGGAATGTATACAGTAATTGTACACAGAACTGTGTGTTTACGTCAGTGAAGTCCGAGCCAGCACGTGCCTTTCTGATTGATAGAAATAAACAACCAGGACATCGTGATATATGTATCGTTTGGAATATTTTACTTTGGAGAGTAGACCTTTCAACATCTTGTAAATCTATCAAGAAAACGACAGTCAAACAAAGCGAGTTTAACCGGAGGCCGTTTTGTGAGATTTCACGAACCCAAAATCAAGTTTAGTAACCAATTTCAGTGTCATCATAAAACGAAATATAAAATGGGCGTGTTGCCTGCTTAGTAACAGTTGCTAGGGGAAGGAAGGAACTACGGAGATAATAATTCAACAGTTCCTGATTGGTTTACAAGTTAAATTTAGATAAAATTATACTTTATATAATTTTAAACTACAATTGTGTGTAATGTACTTTTCGTGGGGACCTTAGAGATCCGTATGTAAGAAGGTTGTTTATAAATCCTACATGTTACCTATGTGCATGCTAGCATGTGTAAAATGGTTTGTTTGTTTGTGAATATTGAATACATGAATCTTCAAGTATCCAACTTATTTTAAGACTTTACTTGCACACGTGTTGTATAAAACAAACAAAGTCGTGAAGATACATCAGCGGCGGTGACGTCATGGATAACTTCGAGTTCAGAAACAACTATTAGCATTAAACGGTTTCCGTAACCATGGTGATATAATTGTTTATTAGACGATTTCTAATCATATAACACATTAGCAGCACAATAACTACTATGATATCAATCTAGATTTAGCTACTTCGTGACAATACAGGTATTCATGTTCCCATCATACAAGGCAGGTCGGGAGTCACCGGTGTAGAATTTACAAAAACCTCTCAGTGCTAGGCATGTTCTCGTTCATAACACGTTTTCATACATTAGATATCGTGCTATACGGCTCATTTTTCATTTTTTTAAAGAGCTCAGCTCCTGCACAGCGCACTGTTTGTACAGTAAGCTAAAATACAACAAGCATCTGTTAACTGTTTCTGATATTACAGAAAGCCAGCCTCTATACCCAGTTATTTCAATATTGATAAACTGTGACACAACAGCATGACTCATATCAGGATCCCAAGTTTTAAAGCAACATTTTATTCACTCCTTAAATAATTCTGTATGGCTTTGATTTTCATTATATTAAGGATCCCCGTACCGCTGCCAAAAACTGTAACTACAGTCGGTAAACACTGGAAACCGAATGAATCTTTTCTGAAAAGAAAATCATACACTTCGGAACATTTTATGAAACTACAAAATGTCTGTAACACATGAATGTCCCGCCGCCATGGGGAATTAAGTAGATAGAGTGATGCCACTTAATCGGTTGGTGATTTTCTGTGTATAGCAACAGTGACCTTGGCCTTGACCTTGGAACCCTCTCATACTTAAACTTTGTTTAACATTTCACGAAAATCTGTGAAGAAATGAAGTTGCTTAGTGTTTCTATTGAATCGGGGCGCGATGGGACGGGACGGCATT